TAATGCTCGTATTTTCATTTGTAATAATACTTGGTATCACTAATCAGCAGATCACTTTTGGAGTTATTGGAGGAGACTCGTGTGCAGCCTGCAGAGTAGTGATGTGATGATAAGTGGTCTTGATTGAGCTTTGTCTTCATAATAGTGCGATTTTTGGTTAGGTTAGTAGATGAAACTTCAACATGATAACTGGAGTTGTCCAGTATGACATTGGTGTATTTTGATTCGTTTAAACTATTTCTCAAGAGACAGCGGCAATTTAGGATCAATTTCATTTTGATTTTGATTGGGAAACATTGTTTATTTTACATTAGGGAAACATTGTTAATTTTTTTCAAATACCAAACTGCACAGCCATTTGACCTTTGGTAACATAATTCTGACTAGATACAGAATAGAGCTGCACTCGTGTGTGGCCTATGACCACATCACTCAAGTTTTATGCTCACGTAACTTTACTGCTGTATTCATAGTAGGCTTTGTTTTCCAAGTTAACCCATATATATGTACCATGTTTTATATTTGTTACAGTACGAGTAGGTGGGACACACGTGGGCATGTTTCGGTAATTAAACAGCGAATAAGATGTCTATTGTGGTGTAAAAGTGTCATTTTATGACTTAATTTCTACGAGGTATGTTGTAATTACCTGTCTCGTCGGCCGAGTGGTCGCAATTGCGACTGCCGGGCAAAGGATCTCGGCTTCGATTTCAGGGTCGGGCAAAGTATTACTAGGCTTTTTCAAAAAATCTCAGTAGTAGCACGGAGTCTGGAATTGTGCCCGGTATATGGCATATATAGTGAAACATGAATAGTAACATAAATAGTGAAAAAATGAGTGTTACATTGTACAGTGGCATTAAGTGCCATAATGTTCATCTCTGCCTACCCCTTCGGGGATGTCGCGGAGAACCTAACGGGTAACCGGGGCTCCGGCTCGACGTGCAGGAGAAGGAGCGGGGTGGTTTTTAGTCAGTAAGAGTCTGACATTTCCTCCCGCCTCACTCAGGCGGGAGCAGACATTCGATGACTGGGCTCGCTGCCATCGCAGCGGTAAGTCCCCTCTTTGAGGAGTGGCTTGAGAGACGCTACGGCGTCCTCACCTACCGCCTGACGCAGGTCCTCACCGGACATGGAAGTTTCGGGAGGTACCTGTGTCTGATGGGGCGGGAGGAAACGCCCGGGTGTCATCACTGCGAGGACCGCCCTGAGGACACGGTGGAACACACGGTGGGAGAATGCCCTTCGTGGGCTGAGCACCGCCGTGTCCTCAGGGAAGTGATCGGCGATGGCGACCTCTCGCGTCCGGGCCTAGTGCAGGCCATGATGCGGAGCGAGGGGGATTGGGATGCCGTCTCCTCCTTTTGCGAAGCAGTCATGCTAGCTAAGGAGGAGGCGGGACGCGTGAGGCAGCGAAGCGCTGCCTCCTCGCAACCCAGCCATCGCGAAGGACACACCGGGCGTCGGGGATCGCGGGACGATCTCCGGCCACCGTAAGCGCGGGCCTGCGGACGGCGAGCATGGGTGGCTCCCCGTCCGACCAGAAACAGACCCGAGCGTACGGCGCGTCGCGTTCCGCGCGCGCCTCAAAGAGCCATCAGACCACCACAGATGGGGCCCAATAGGGCCGATGCCGATTCGGAGTCGCGGAGAACCTAACGGGTAACCGGGGCTCCGGCTCGACGTGCAGGAGAAGGAACGGGGTGGTTTTTAGTCAGTAAGAGTCTGACACTCCCTCCCGCCTCACCCAGGCGGGGGCAGTCATTCGATGATTTTCCCCCCTTAAAAAAAAAAAAAAAAAAGACATTCGATGATTTCCCCCCCATAAAAAAAACCCCTTCTTCGGGGATTAAAAGGCGTGATGTCATGTTATGCTATGTTGTAATTATGTTCTTTGTGTTGTCAGTTTACTAGTTAATAATATCTAATGAAATTTTCGTAAAAATATACTGGTGCTGATGCTATGTCCTACAACTTGAAAGTCTCTTTGCTTCTGTAAATATAAGATGTTCAAATATTATCAGTATTAGAACGGAATCTATATTGTTTGAAGCTTTAAATTTAGATACTAATAATATGAAACTAACATGAATCATTATGTTTTTTGGACTACTCGCGTAATTATTTGACGAGGAACTTGATTAGTTTCCTGTGGTGTGTGTGTGGATTCGTCGTGTTGAAAAAAACGGTGTTCATAAAGATAAGTAGGTATAATACAACAAGTTGTCGTACTCCACAACAAAAGAAAATGTTAGTATTCAATATCAGTATACTGCCATTATCTACAAATAATGTGCTATAGAAATGTGTCGTGCGAGGATGTCTAGCTGTGCTGTGAAAATGTATCATTTGCTGTTTTCACCAAAGAATCTATTGGTTCGTTACAAACGCGTTACGCGGCCTCGGACATCTATGGTGAAAACGCAGCCTAAATAAACATCTAAAGATAACCTTAATATGGTCGGGACCAACCATGTCTCTAGAATCATATCTACACCTTGTGTAGTCGTAGCTTTGTGACCTAAAAAGATAAAACAAAAAGGAAATATCTATTCTAAACTAATTGATTCAGTCTATAACCCACCCACTTTCCACCTTTTATGGCATTAGTCAGCGGTTCTATTGACAGGAAAAATTAATATGTTACTAATAAAAATGCCCACATACCTACTAACTTCCATGTGTTGAATATATTCAGCCGTGTCTATATAATAGCTGTTTTTTTTTCTTGATTATGTCTATATTTGGCTAGTCATTACTACCCAATTACTTAATATTGATTTTTAATAAATCAGTCAACAAAAGTCAAAGCATTTTATTAGTTTTTTCAAGAAAACTGAAGTAAAACGCTGTTGAAAGTAAAGAATGTAATACAAGTCCTTTAGCTTTGAAGTGTAAATTTCCTGTCGAGAATATGTGACCAAGAATTTCCATTGTAACTCTTTTTGAATGTGTTTGTTGTGAGTCTATTTATTAGTTTTAATACTAAACCATCATACATGACGTTCCAGCTCTCCCAGCATTTCCAGAGCTGTTGCAAATTCGATAACGTGAACTTGTACTACAACACGAACCTGGATCTTCTTGTATGACGTTTGAGGACAACCAGCACGACTTTGTTAAAGACAGACTCCATGATTTATTGATGTTTGACATTTCATTATTCCTTTGTTTCCACAATTAATTGTCTCTGTGGGCGTAAAGCTGGGTTGCTTTATACCAAGCAATGTTGTAAGACAAGCGACTTTTATTGTCAAACAGTTTTATGGTTGTAATGTGTTTGTTTAGACAAATATGGCGATGTCATAATATTTGTGTGTTTTGATTGACAAACCGATTGATTTATAGTGTCGGGTGTCTATTCCGAGTGAATGATGCGGTCATTTTGATGATATTATTTAGTAAAGATTTTATATTTTCCGCTACGTGTGTGGGTATATGATTTTTTAATTTCGTAATATTTTTTGCGAATGGATGCTGAAGGAAGGAATAGGAAGGCCGTACTGATTGACACCCACATGCTTGTGTACATTTTCTACAACAACTAGGTACATATTTTGTGGAAAATAAAGTAGAAAAACTGAAGTTTTAGAACTACCTTTGCCCTCCTTCCTTTAAACTGAATCTCCTTATTAGCCTCGTACATACATTGTATCCACATGTAGTACGATGTAAGTACGGTGCACCCCACAGAGTGCCAGTCCCTCCCTCACGCACTCAATCCCGAAAGAAGTGCTATCACCAGAATCAGAGGAAGCATTATCTACAACCCGCCGTCAAATCACACGGCGTATTGCGTAACATACTCACCCCCGCTTTAAAATGGAGTAATAAATAAAAGGTAGACGCGGCACCTTATCGCGCGCCGCTCGGCCACAACAGATGAAAGAATACACCATCCCTCCTCCTCCCCCCCGTCCCCTCCTACCTCCTCGGCACCCCCTACACACCGCACTCCCCTCCGATCTCTCGCTCTAACAGCCAGTAAACGCTGTTTTACATTTATAACTACAAGCCGCTTCACGACTGTACAAGTAGTACAACTTGCACTTCAACATTCTAAAACCAACTCTATTTGAGTTGCGATAAAGTTTGATTCTGTGTAAGTGGTTGTTTACCGTCTTGGTCGGTCGTCATGGCAACGGGCGGCGTCGCGATTTTTGCCCGCTCGCGCCTCCTTCGATTACCTAAAGGTTTTTCCGATGTAAGGATGGTACATACGTATCGGTTCGATAGCCGGGCGCCGGCGATGCGTACAATGTTTTATTGACAGATCGGAAACGGTTCAAAATTGAGGATTGTGAGAATTCCCTTTGTTTGCTTGAGATGCGTACAATTGCTTCCTCCGTACAATTGTGCCGGGAATGGATTCCTCGAGGATGTAGTTCATGGAGGTAATGTTATTGTCTCGACATTGTGCGATGTCTGATTGTTTCAATGAAGATGGAGATTTTGTTGAAATTTTCCGACTTTTCTTTGCGGATATCTTTACTTCCTTTATCTTCAATTTGTTTCCAACATTTATTGAACAGACCGTCTACATTCGCCGCCCTACGTGTGTATCATCACACTTATTCTATATTCATATAATCTGTTCCTCCGAATCGCGAGGTGTTCGGGTTTCGAAGCAAAGTAAGTAGAAACATAATGTAATGTACTTACGATGAATATTTTCACGAGAGTTCTTGTGTAACTATTCCAAAGTATTTTTTCCTCTGATTTTATATGAAAACTGTGTATGGGCGATGTTTGGAGACTTTTAGAAGATGTGTGGGCAATGATTTTTGTAATGGACAATGTGAATGCTATAATGAGGTCTAAACATGACATTATTTACTTTAGTAGGTGTCTTGTGTGTTCTTTACACTTACAGTTGAACTTTTTTACATTTTTTCAGTACTTTAGCTCATTTTGTAAAACTTTGTATACTTTGGTTTAGTGACTTAATAACTATGATGAAATGAAATGAAACGTATAGAATTATTTTACTAACTGTTTATTTGAACCACATTACGCAGAGTTTCCACGCTTTTTATTATCTAAACATGTTATCTTAGAATGCTGTAGTACAGTACAGACCGCACATCAAACTACCTTTCATTCTGCAATACATTTGGAACTGTATTCCAAAGATATAGAGTTCAAAATGTATTAGGGCGGGATGGAATAAGATAACTTGATTTGCGGTTTTATTTTACTATGACAAGCTGTTACAGACACTTAATAATGTAATAATTTATATTTGTGTGCATTTATAAGCGAATTAATCTCGTAACGGTTGAAGCTCATTCTCTATATAATCTTACTTGTGTATGTAACAGATGTATGTATGTGTGATAAATGTGCATCATTCTGCGTTAATAGCTCATAGAAATAAAAAATGTTCAGTCTTTTAATAAAACTTCTACTATTTTGTTGATTTTATGCTTGCAAACTATATAGGTTGTATTACGAATTGTGAGCAAAACATACATAAAAAAGATTAAAAAAAGCATAGATAACATATTGTAATTATTTATAGCAGTCAGAGTTCTAAACAATACGTTTTCGTCTTGAATTCAAATGGTTCTGTCTCGGTAATACAATAGTTTTAAAAAGAAATAAAAATTCCAAAATCAAAATTTGTAATAAGACTGTTTTGTGCCAGGCACATCTTTAAGATTAATAAAAAAATGTGAATGAGTTTAACAGCAAAAAGTTTCGAATAATGCACATTTACTCAATAATAGTACTGGCGTGGTCATCACTACTCGTAGTTAGTTACAATAGTTAAATTCGTTTAAATATCTATTTACACGTTTTATATTTAAAATGTACAATATACATATTGCGATGCCTCTAGCGACATTATTGTTATAAGTAATTATTAAATAGTATTTACAAGTATTAAGGAAACATCTGTACATGACCTTAACAATATTATAATTAGAAAATAAAAACAATCAAAAGAAACTGGCTACGATGAAAAGTAACAATTTTACGTCGACATCGTTTATAAAATGCTGAAAATTTTAAAATGTAGACTATTTTAGAAACTATTCAAGTATAGATTTGAATAAACTGGGTAAGCATTTTAGCCTCAAAATTATATGTAGTATAACCTCACTCAAAACTATAATACATGTTTTGTATTCAACAATACATAATTATATTTTAGACACCGTATTCTCTATTAAAAAAGGAAAATACTGCGATTGAGTAGCAAGATTTGTTTCTGTTGAAAGTAAGCACATTGCAATATTGTTCAGTAACTTTACTGTCTCTGAATTTATTTTGAAACAATGTTTTTTATGATGTTACATCTACTTACTCATTTCAGCAAGAAAATATTGGCGTTATATTATACTTAAGTCAGTTTCAGTAATACAGACATCCTTTTTGTAAGATATTTCAGCAAGTTGTAACAGTAATATATATGAAAAATACTGACAAATAATGGCTTGTTCACACCATTAGCGCTAAGTGTGTGTCTTTATGTGGCCGGGGCTAATGTGCCTATTTATATCTACACACAGCCTGAGTGAGGTCATTGTACTCGTGTCTACTTCATTTAGAAACATACTACATATATGTATTTCATACAAAGAAATTGCAAAGTACATAATTGTCTCAGCTAAAGTAAGTTCTCAGAGCGGACAGTGGCGGCTTAATGTATACGCACATTACTTCTGTAATAATAATCTGGCACTTTGAATGACAATAAATACGAACAGCTTCCAAATAAACTCTACTCTTTATATTCGAAATATAACTACAGATAGGAAATTGGCACCGGTGTCAAGATTCATACAATTTACAAGTGTACGCTCACATAATACATGTAAAATCTAAAATTATCAATAAATTACTTATAATTTATCACATGACTACTTATACTAGAAATATTTACAGTCATATAAACGTAATTACTTTAATATAATCGTTTTTACATAGCACTTAGCGTACAGCGTCCACAGACACTCGTCCTAGACTTTAACAAACAATGTGACTGTAAAAAGATATCGATTGAATTAATAATTAATAGTTGGAAGTCCTTAAGTGCTACACTGGGACGTGGTGGCCACTTCACTAGTTCACTGGTACAGTCAGAAGTGATAGTACGCGAAGTTGATGGGCTGCTCGTCCTCGACACTGAGGCTGTCACTGTTCACATTGTCACTGTCACCGGACCGCGGCACGTCCTCGAACCTGCGCACCTGCCAGTTGGACAGGTCGCAGGGCGCCTCCTCCTCTTTGTAGCCGGCGAACTCCTGGTAGTAGGAGTCAGTGGGGCTGAAGGTGGCGCTGGCATGCAGGCCGGCGTCTCGGGCGGACTCGCCCGGGGTGCGGGATCACTGCCGGTGCGGCAGCTGGTGGTGCATGTGGTGGATGTCGAGGCGCGGCCTCTTCGCCTCCTCCTCGTCACTACACTCGTTGTCATGCTGCTCCTGGTCGTCACATTCCTCGCCCAGCTCCTCCTGCTTACGTTTTGCGGTCGCCATCTCAGCCGCGTGCTTTTTCCGCCATTTCGTTCTTCTGTTTTGGAACCAGACCTGCGGGAGAAACAGAATGTTAATACCATTGTCATAATAATAGCCTTCAGTCTTCATCTACAAATGTCAAAATAATTTTGACGATCCTTGACATAATACCAAATGTCAGTAATAGGTACTGACGTGAAAATTGAATAAGTATCAAAGTTAATAGAGCAAAATTAAATTGTAAATGTGAAGTTTCAATGCGAGAGCATTAAAAGTTTAGCGCAGTTTTAAAAGTCCGTTATTGAGTAGACTGAAACGCAAACACAGACGGTCTGGCTTTAAATGTGTTCACACTAAATTGTGATGTTTGTTCACCAGCCAAGCCAAATATAAAGAGAACAGCAAACAATTTCCATCTCCATGAGGACCTAATCTGCGCGGTCGACATCATAATGCCTCATTAAATACCGCCTTTAAAGTCGCATCACGAACTACCAGCCGTCCCGCTCGCACGCGCCTGAAATCTTTGCAGACGACAAAGACGGCGATAGTAGCCGTGTTCTACGGTAATTAAGGGTCGTTTTGCAAATTACACGGTACTTAACCAGCCATATAACGATCATTAATCACTGGCCCGGGGAGTTTGCTGTCCCTGTTACTCGCGCCGGGGTTGATATGTTGCGTCCCTGTCGCGCGGGTCTACGGGCGGCCGACACGAGTTTAATTAGGTCATAAATACGTTTTCATGATTAGCCGGAGGATGGTTGTCGATGGTCCTGAAGGTGGCCGGTATCTGGAGCAGATGTCGGTGTCATTATAAGGGTATCATACTAGCGCGGAATTAGCTCTCCTCGTTATGTTAACAACAGCACTTAATTCGATCAAATTTTACTTGATTTTGGAACATTGCTGGATGATGTTTGGGCTCGGGAGTTTGGGTCCTGCTCTTGATCTAAATGTAACATAAACTTGTCGACGACATGTTGTAATACCTGTTATTTTAATGCCATTATTCTTATTGCACGTAGGCCTTGAGGGATAAGGTGAGAAGGGAATGACTGTACCTAATAATTATTATTATCTTTTCATATCAATAAAATCATGACATTTTCGAAACTAGAATGGATACTGAAATCACATCCCCAATATTGTTCAAAGAAAACAAGGCGTATAGAAATATGTCGACTCTATACCGACGTCATGAAAACTTGCTACTCAAAACTGCTACAATCCAACACAAGTATTGACACTATAAATAAGTCTCGCTACACATTTACGACAGCGCGATATTACATAAAGTTATAAAAATAAATCGGCCGACTCGATACACAGTCGCTATAAAAAATATGCGACGGCAAAACAACACAATAGTAATATATACGTATTATCATTGGACCATTTGGTTTTATATTCGTACAGTTGATGGCAGACTTAGTTTATGACGCGACTTGCCTCGTCTTGCATGCCACTGTGGAAGTAGACTCTGTTGAGTTGGCCTAAATGGAGACGGAACTAATGTTGTGTTACGTTTCGGGTAAATTACTAACTGCTGACTGGATGCGAGGGAATGGAATGAAGGTTTTATGTGCATTCTTGACAAAATTAGTACACAAAATGACTTACAATTGAAAACAAAATGAAAAGGGATATTTACATTTTTTACAAGGATAATAAGTTAATAAGGGAAAGAAGTTATGTCTGTGTGTTTGTTGATACAAAATCACACTGCTCTATACGAACTTACAAGAGAGGTAAGTAAGTGCCTACATTAACATTCAGATACTCCACGCAAAACACTGTTCTCAAAACAACATTACATTCATCGGTACTTACTGAAAATACATAATACGAGAATGTTCAGAAGTTGAGGCCGTGTCATCTACGTAAGTGTATATTTAGTGTGAACGGCAGCCTGCCAGTAAACACCTCGGCCCAAACATACGCTCATCAAAGCAGTTTACGATCAATCCGACGATTCCCGACAATTCCCGACGATTCCCGACCCCTTCACACGATACCCTTACTTATAATATTATTTTCCATTTTTCGTTCATACTTTTATACCCGTCTTACCCTCCGTACCATTCAATTACTTAAGTGTTCGAAGACGGCCCACTGAGAATACGCTCGTCTCTCTCTAACGTATGAATGAAGTGAACCTGTCCCTGTCGCTCGGGGTAGGGTCGGGTAATTATGTGAATAACTATTATTTTTCACAAGAGAGCTCGGTAATGGCTTGATAGGGATAATGGTGTTTCAGTAGCCATGTCGAATAAACAGCGGCCATGTTGTTATACAGGTAATTAATTTGAATGAATCCGACGTTTTGTGTGCTCCACGTTGGATTACGTTTGTTGCATTCACAATAAAGTTGATGCACTCACTGATTTGTGTATTCAAGTTTTATATTTAATTGCTTTTGGTTCGATTTATAAATGATTTCTATCTTAATTACTTCAGTTCTAAAACAAGTTATTGTTCTTGTATTGAATGCATGAAGCATATACTTTGTCTGATTTTCGTTGAAATGAACTTTGTTAAAATAGAGTTAAGACTGAAAATAATAGCTTTTACGACTAACTATAGCAAAAATATTGAAATGCAAATTTGTATAACATTAGAAGTCTGGTCACGCTCCACTACGGCTCGCTCAAGATGAGATGTCTGATTTATTTCCACCTACGTATTGACAGCTTGAGAATATTATACATAGGTACCTACGATCATATGTAGCATGAAGCGACTATCTTTATATCTTCTAGAAGGTAAGGAAATATTTAAAATGACTTAAAGTAATAATGACTTACTATTTGAAAATGTTTATAATTTGTATCTGTTTATACGCCTTCTTTAGAAACGGAGGTGTTAAATGTAAGGTAAACTAAAAATCTCATCTTAGCAACAAACTTAGAAGTTTAGAGTACCCACGTGGACGCATTCCCATACACCGAGTACCTATAGAAATACTAAGTACTAACTAGATTTTGAACTACATACTACTGTCTACTGTGATAAAACCGGAGACCCGTTACTCATTAATTTAATCTAAAACATGCGATTAGGAATAATAATAATTGAGATATGAAGTAGACATATTAGAGCCAAATATTAATAGGTATAATTAATGATCACAAACGCGCAAAAAGCGCATATTCAGAAGAGCATGACCAGGGCGATACCCCGGCGACCTCTAGCCACAGCAGAGACGCGTCGTATAAAGCAGATGTAATCAAACGTTACCACATTGCGACTAAATCCCCGACATCATTAGGCGGCGTCGCAGCGTCATTTGTCACCGCCGACTTATCGCACCCTTTGCTCCAGTTAATAGTCGCACCGATTTGTCGCGTCGGCTAATGTGTGCCGGTCCTTGATGACCCTGATTTTTGCAGTCGTCATCTCATTACAGTAATTGCGAAAATCTTACTTTGATGTTGAAATAGTTTTTGTCTGTGTGTCACGACATTGGTAAGTTCTTTTTATGGCATAGTTTAATTAAGTGTATATGGAATGGTTGTTTTCAAGAACATGTTCACTAATTTATCGCTTCATTTGATTTGGATATCACAAAAAGTGTCTCGCTTATCAGCAATTATTTGCGTGGTACTACAATATAGTTGTACCACGGAAATAGTTATAACTGATTGTTCAATTTTGTCACTTTGACTCAATTAGCATCGAAACAGTTTCTACGCTGTTATTATTTAAAGTATGACTTTATCCTCCAGAAAGGAAGGGCCTTTAATGCTGAGGGTTGTGGCTTTAATGGAAGCGCTATAATAGACTTCTCTTTGTTGTAAAATCTTTATCTTGATGAAGAACCTAGGATATTGGTACCCTAATTTAGATCAAATAATATTCCGAGACTGCATCCTCTATCGGGAGGCTCTTGTCTAACATCTACCGACTGATAATGACTATCTATCCAGATCATTTAAACTTAATGTAGTAGTCTATTAGGCTAGCTCTGGAAAATAATAATCATTAATTATACAGATATTATTATTTTGTTGTTGTTAATCATCGTGGGAGCAAGTAGCGGTCGGTAGCCACGAGTAATAAGACGGTGTAAACACGGCTACATGTCGACCTATACATACCCACTTTATCCTGGACTCGTTTTCTATAATCTTTCCTTACATTCGACGGTCAGTTTATACTGGTTTGTGTGGCTTGATGTGTCCGTGTGTACGTAGTGTAGCAATCAATAAGAGATCGAGGCCACTGCGGCGGCTGCTAATAGCGAAATAATAATTATTAATAAGGTTTACGCTTCACTTGCCGTCATTATGTTGTGGTCATTCTGCGGGCTGGCGCGAGGTGTGAGAGTGTAGCGGGTTATTGGCAGTTTTCGGTGACCAATTATAATTTTTTATTAATATGTTTATAGTGGTTACGCTTTTGCAAATATGCTTAATTAAAAGACGCTTTGTTCCAACTAGACGTTGAATTATGGCATGTTGGTATATAAGAATTATTTTGAAAATTGATTTTTAGTTAAAAAGGAATAATGAAGCCCAACTATAATAATAATTGTGTGTTTTAAAGACATATCACAGCAAAGTCATTTAAATTTTTCAGTAATTTGGAGTGGAACTAGTCATACATCAGCTGTTCTTGATTTATTTTATCTTTTCAGAAATATAGCAAAAATAATGTGTGCTTTTAAATCTTTGAATATCTATCCGCTACCGCTTCTAACTTGTAAAGTTGACGTTAATGACAAGAATTAACGTTCAATGATTGCTACATGTCTATCTATAAATAAAACTGTAGTACGTAGGTACATACATATAGACCTACTATTCTATATATACATTTACGCAAGACAAATCCACGGCTTGTCATGTAATCTGTCAGTCAGTGTTGCGAATCAGAATATCTTATTTAAAATAATTTATTAAGCACATTGAAAGAACTTAAAATATTGTAATGAAAGTGAGGCAGTGAATCATTAGTTTCAACTTTTAAGTTATGTACGACAATTGTCATATCAGACTGCACGGTTGGCGCGGGGCTGGGTAAACGGTACGATTCCCGCTCGAAGCAACTCTTTGTGTGATTTACAAATT